CCGAATTAATTAATTATTATTGAATATTATTATTTCACTCGACTTTTCGTGAGAAACGTTTCACACATACGTAGAACGAAGGTCCTTGATAGTAACAAAAAGTAATCATCAAAACGAAAATTTGAACGAAAATTTACACAATTTGGATAAACTTGCGCGCGTTTAGAATCGAACGTTTAGAATTAGCTCGTCAGCTTCGTCATTGTTTCAATTCAATTTCACGTGAAAAATTTCCAAGATTTACGTGCGGTGATTTCAAGATCTCTGTGGAAATTTATTTATTGGGCTTTTTTGAATGTTCAAATGAATGGTTCGATTCTTACACGCAGGTCCAATGGAAGAAGGTGAACGTTTCGTCAGATTTGTATTCGTGAAATGATGATGGACGAGAGGTACGTGATGGGGAATACATCGAAACGGGATGCAAAGAGCGTCGTCGAGCGGAGGACAGTGAGTTTACGCGCGAATAATAATCGCGAGCGGCGAATATTAAACGATTCGTATCCGGCGTCTGTTCGAATTGAATCTCGGCCGCAATCAGTTCAAACTACATCCTTATTAACGCGCATCATTCGCGATAATTCGGTCGGTTTGGTACACAGAATAACAAAACAAACTGCGTCGCCACGCAACCCTCAGCTTCTGACTTTTTCCACGATGCAATCGATTACTTTTTAATCTACCTTCCTCTAACAAAAGGAGAAAAGGACTTAGAATGTGTTAAGCTTACTCCAAATTCATCGCCATAAATTTTACAAGAAAAAGTTTGCAGAAACGTTGCAGATTTTGTTCGACGTAGAGACTTCCGGTTCCACCATCGTTGACGCAATTTCTCATTTGCTGCGAGGAAAGGATCGAGTGATAATTCTCTCGTCTGCTGACAAAGTTGCTTGATAAATGCCTTCAAACCTCCATTTTCACGCAAAGTACGTCGAAGGCAACTTCACGCTCCTCCGGCAGAATTAATTCGATCTCTTCTGGAATCCTCAGATCGTCTCCCGAGTCTGCTCTGTGAATTTTGCTCACGAAACGAAGCCGAACATTGCATCAATTGCATATTCATTTCTTCTTGAGAAAGGAACAACCCGTATTATTACAGATCACGGTTGTCACCGCGTATTAAAATACGCGAGAAACGTGTGATCGATGAATCGAGGATACAATTTTTCATCTACGTGCACACATGTTCGGTGTTACCACTCTTGCTATATACTATGCACATCTTATAGTGACAAATATGTGACAATTATTTGATAATCGTTTCCTTCTATAATTAAATGAAATTGCAAATAATTCTGTAACAATGAAATTTCGATGGTCTCAATGAGCAATATTACAAGTATACAATACTTTGTCACAAATTTAATCATTGCTAATGTTTATTACAACGTTGGAAATAAATTGAAGAAAAATCGAACTTGGACGCAATATGATTCAACAAGTCTAGTGGAAATATATTAAAAATTACACAAATAGAGAAATTTTGTAAAACGTCGACCGATACGTGCATGTTTCTCCAATTGTCGCGGGAATCGATATTGCACACTCGTTTTTGTTCCTCTGAGAGCAGTTTCCCTCTCTACTCAAATTCCATTTTGTCTTTCGTTTATCGCGCGAAACCTGTCCTCTATGAACCGCGTTAAAGATAAACCGTGCTATTTTCGTAATCCGCCTGCTCCTCCTTCCTTCGTCTTTGTTTTTCCGCCACTGAATAACTCCGTCGTGTTGTGGATACAAGTGAAAAATATATTTAGAAAGATCGTCTCTGGCAACGATCGAAACGAAGGAGAAAAATGAAAAGGAAATTGGCTCTCTGCGGACAGTGGATATCGACAGGTTAGAACACAGAGAGAAGCTAATAAGTAGTATTTGCCGTTCGGTACTCCAATCTCGAATGCTTGTTCGATCCTACCTATTTCCCTCTGCCACTTGTGTGCCGATGTTTGTTTCACGCAACCAGAGCGATTAATGCCTAGAATTTCGTCGATTTAAAGTACAAAGGAGAGAAAGGAGGATCATGCTGAGCGAATCGCGAGAATCAAGTTATATCGAACGACTGTTTTGTTTTCTGCTTTCGTATTTGAAAAACGAGAAACTTTGAGATACAATTTTGGCACGTATCGAGGAACACAACGAGGACGAGTATACTCTGTTACGTGGCACAAGCTCTCGTCGAAATTAGTTCTGTCGGTGAAGCACGAGCGTAAACTACGGTCGCGGGGAATTTACGGAAACGCGAGAAATTCGTGGATCGGTGTCATCGATTCTGTCTCGGTCAACGTTATCTCTTGGTTTCAACGTAACTCGACAATGAAATCTACCGCTGTGTACCGGTAGCGATGTGAATCTCAACCGATTTCCGATCTCCTGCAATCGGTCTGTTACCGTTTCGTCGATTACGCTCCCTTTCATCCGTTGAACAATGGTCGACGATTCGAGTTCGTGTTTACCTCGGCGGAAGCATTGACGATGCGATTTCGAGAAAATCTTCACCGTCCACCCACATGATCGTGATCGGGAAGAAAACAAAGCACCGGAGAATGCTGCACGAATGAATCAAGCAACAAAGGGAAGTTTCATCAGAGAAAGAGCAAGGATTAATTGATATAGATTGATCTAATTATTAATTATTCGTTAAGATAAAATCGCCTTTGCATCGATTCTAATATTCCCTGTCAATCTGCTAATTCTTCTAATAACTCTTTTCAGTGATTTTGAAAAATAATTATTGCGAAGTACGTCGTCGACTTTTGGTAAAAAAAGGGGTTTTTCATTATCCACGAAATAAATGAATGATAATTAGAGGGTAAACTACGAATCGATACTCCCCAAAAATAGCTCGATCAAATGGCAATTTCGATCGTTCTCGTAAACAATTAATAAACATGAGTAGTATTCTCATAATCTTAATAAAGTATTCTCATGAATCTTGATTCGTGACTGTGATGTATTTCGGCTCGAACGGAAGTAAAAGTCCTGGAGTTGGAATATTGTTCGCTCGACTCGTTTGCAAATTGACATTGTCTAACTGTTGCGCATAATGCACGCCGGATTAAGTGGATAGTTACACGATCTGCGTATAATATTTACGATTCATAACTATAATTTAGTTTAATAACGATCTGTTTATAGCGTAACGTATGACATATATTTGGTAAATGATACTTACAATGGAATGAAACAGAACTCCAAGGAATTCGACAGTGTAAATAAAATTTTATTCTCTTCAGTCGAGAATCGAAAGAAATTGTTTCAACTCTGAGTGGTAGGAACAAACTATTACTAGAATCTGTATCTACATTAATATCGTCTCCTTTATACCAGAGGCGCGAATATGCGATTCAGCCAGTTGTGGGAATTTGTAACTGAACAGATATAGAAAGTAAGATCACATTCTTAAGTAAATGGAATAACATCATTGTCATGCAATATATTTGCCTATTTGATACAAAACCAGGCCTAGAAAAAAACGTTCAGTATACTCTTCAACTCAAAAAAAATGAAAATTTGTCGCACTCATACCTCCGGTATAAATAGAGCGATACGCACTCTCATTGTCAATTGTAATAACTCTTGTTACACTTGGTATTCGACTAAACGCTATTTTTAATATACATAATGGCTATAAACCTTTCGAAAAGAGACTCGCAGACGAACGAGAATATATTCGTAGCGTGATACTTTCGCATACTTTCGAGTGAAAATCGTTTTAGAACGCACGCGGTCTTGCGCGATCGTTTCCTTGTTTTGCGCACGAACGTATTTTCAATGTTTGTTTGTCCATCCAATTTCGCGTGACCGTTTTATTCAGAAGATCAACAATTGAGAAAGTCATTTATTTATTTAATTACGCTTTTTTTTTATTTAATCGCGTCCAATAAACAGACTGCCGATTTTGCACAAAGATCGAACGATCGTTTCGCACCTGCGTTGGGTATATCACTTAAGAAATTTCGCCTTCCTTTCCCGGCGTTTTCTGTCACGTGCGAACAATGAACGCGTCGTGCTGCGCAACACGTGACACGGTAACAAATCAATTACGATTTAATTCGCCAGCAACATATCAGATAAGAAGTCGCGCGCTATTATTCGAATTCGTTACTCCAGATTTTTAAGAGTTAAATGTCAATCCTTCGTTTTATCCTACGCGTTGAAAATCACCGGCTGTCGCTGGTCACAGTGAGACGCGACGGTTGTTATGTCATTGGAAAACTAGATAACTTGACGAGCAGGATCTTTCGTTGATAATAATAATTTTTCTTCTCTTCTTCTCTTTCGAGGAAACGCGATAATTTTGTTATTCGTGAAACATCGTACGATTGAAAACGAGTTTGTTACGGTTTGCAAAGGAGGGCATTATATAATCAATTTTCTTAATAACTTTCCATTGGTCTAAGCGAGTCGTTGAATTTATCTAATCCGTATCTTACGAACAAATAATATGAAGATATCGTTGATTAATTAGCTCGGTAAATTTCCTCTCGTCAAATCTTTTTCACAAGCACGTAAATTCTAACAGCCAAAACGGTAGTGCACGTTTTTCGCCGATCAATTCCATTAACGTTAATTCTATTCCTACATAAAGATTTCAATCTATATATCCCTTCACTTCGAAATTCAAGCACACGATTCTAATGCTCGCGTTAGCCGCGGTATTACACGAGATTTGACTCAAGTTCCGAATAGATAAGCTGTCTATCAGCCACAAACCTTTTCGAGTCGAATCTCCAAGTTCGGTGATTATTTCGTATCGCCGCGAGCGAATTTTCGAAAGAGAATTCAACTGCCCCTGACGGTGGCGCTTTTCACGTGAAAACGGAACGCTTGCCAACCGAAATGTTTGGTGGCCACCGAGTTCACCAAACTCAGGCTGACAGAAGACACCGTCGGACTCGACTCGATCGCCGAGGACGACTGATCGGATATCGCGACGTTTCAATCGAACGGAAAATTCGCTCTACCCCGTTTAGCCCGCGAAAAGAAAAGGGGTTGGAACTTACCCGCGGCAGCAGCGACGTACTGAGGCAACGTCGAGCCCTTCTCCGCCATATTTGCGACACGACACTTATCGTGGACACCGTTCGTACGATACTTGGATGAACCGACACCAATCTCAACGGGATATTTTCCAAGGGTGGTTGAATCGTACACTGCTGAACTGGAACTCGGTGGTACTGGGCTATAGGCATACTCTTTATAGCGCCCCTCTATCTCTTCCTGGTCGTGGGTGGGGGCCATTTCTCTCTCCCTCTCTCTCTCTCTGACTGTCCCTCTCTATTCCTCCTCGCTTCAACCCGGGTACACCGCTCGCTCGGTACGATACGCTTCTCGTTCGATAAACGCCTCGACCTCCTCTCCCTTCCTTCGGTTCCTCCTTTCCTCCTTCCTGCGAAACGAGCTTCGACGATTCGTCCTACTCTCCCTCCAGAGCTTGGCGACGACCAGCAGCAGCCTCCTTCTCCGGCTGAAAATGCAACAACCGTATAACCTCCGTGAGTCCTCGACCCTGCGACCAGCCGCCACTGATCGTGTCAAGGTCGCGCGATCGCCGATCGATCCGGCCGACTCGACTCGAGGGGGTTGAAACGCCGACGGGCTACCCAAGGATCGTTTCACTTTCGACCGCCGCGGATACTCGCACGATTATCAAGCGTGTTTTACAAGCTCGACTACGCGATTACGAATATGGCTGTTTTGCGTGGTTGTTACTTACTTCTCAAGCTTATATTATACCTAGCGTTGGGAGTCAGCTGCGGTTGATTCTGATTCATTAGATCTACAGCTGAGATACCCATTTCACGTGTATGTTTAAACAAATCCAGACTTCGATCTGCGAGATTTTTAAAACACCCTTTCCTGTTTCACGAATATCTACGTATTTTTGTACCACCGCTCAATGGTTTCGAAAGAAATGTTACACGAGAAAAAAATATATAAAAAATTGTATTAACAATTGTATATTGTGTCAGCGGAATTTCGGAATTCCCTGAACTAGACGGTAGTGATACAAATAATGATAATGACAATCCGCTATCTCTGCGATTAATAGACAGATAAAATCAAAAAACTTACATTGACCGAAAGATCATATCTACTAATAAGAAAATTGAATAATGATAATTAGCTAATGTAGGATTATACAGAGCAAACTGTGTATTTCTTTTATCCTTATATCATTCCAAATTGTTCAGTTTGGTCACGTGTGAGGGATCTTAGATATTGATGGTTCCGAATTGGTAAGGGTGGAATTTACGTTGGGGTTGTAAGATGGTAGGTCAAGGTCAAACAATCTGCAGTGGCCTGGCATCAATCATTTCTTGCCTGGTACAGTTAATGGTTATTCTGTGTTCGATTCGATTACGATTACGACTACTAGATCGTAGATGGTTACGTTTAATTAAAGAAAATTTCGTTATCGAATTTTATATCTTTTCGATCTACGCGAGCTTTCAAGAGAAAAGTTTTATCGTTGAGAAGAGACAAATTCGAAATTGAAATTGTGTCAAATTGGATCGAAATTTCTCACTTTTCTTTCTAGCGTATCTAACAATAATTGTATACTGTACGTCAGATTTTCAAAATAGTTTATCGATCGAATTTCATTGACGAAACAACAAAATGCAATAGTATGACGAGTACTAAAGTTGAGTCATATCTCCAAGTCCTTTTTAAATTGGAATCTTTCTAAACAAATATAAAGAAATGTGTTATTTGTTGTTTGCATTAGATATAGGAAATAAAAATTCCCCATCGTGATGTAACCGAGAAATTGTCGCTCGTCCTTCTCGACGCTCGTAACATCGATATTCCCTTTACCACGTGCCAATTATATTTTCCTTTCCGTATCTACGGTATCGTATTTTTCGCATCGTTGTCTCGAGATATTTGTCCGCAAATCGAACGCTTATCTATCCTCGGAGATTAAATCAAGCAAGAGTCGACGATTTAAAAGATTCACCCCCTTCCTTGTTTCGTATCCCCCAGCATCCAACTAGAAAATCAATATCAGATCGAGCTACAGATACATACTCGTATCGGTACGTGTACCACGGAGATTGCACCCGTGCAGAAGGGTTAGAAGGAGGAGGAAGAACGAACATGAACCCCATGTTGCGTTCTGCTGTCACAAGCAGATTCGAAGGGAATGATCAGATCGTAGTCATATTGCAGACACGGACACAGAGATAGAGAACGAATCCAACGTATGATAATTGAATCGATCATTTGCCAAATTTCTGAGATAGTGTATACTCCTTTTTTTAATGTTGTAGATTGTCGATCACTAGCTATCTATATACGTAATGGTAAATCCTTGCAATAATCACGGTGGAAAAAGTTTCTCGTCTTATTTAATAGCGTTCAGTATCATCGTTAAGGAAATTTTAAATATAAAAAGTTTTAAATATAAAAAGCATTAACAGTTGTACACTTATGATACAATTTGATATCAACTATTCCTATCAGCCTTGATTCGACGATCGTGCAACGACTAAATAAATAACGACGCGAATTTTTACATCGTCCGGTTCAATTCGTACGAGATCCCGATAATAATCTTCTGATTACGGGGAGTTATGTCAGTGACATAACTCTTACAATACGCGGGATATCAAACTTCACTTTATCTTTAACTGACGTTTACATTCCGCCGATGAATAAACTAGCTAGAGTGCGCGAGCTCTCTGAAAGCTCTTTTGCTACATACATATTTGCTTTCGTGTTACACTCGCGTCTATGTACTTAATGTTAGTTTTCTACTCTCCCCCGTGATGCGTGTCAACTTTCATTCGTTCGTTTTGCGAAAATTCTAGAGCGTGGCAGAGTGCGTTCTCGCGAAGCGCCGCCGCATTCATCTCGCGTGCAAAATTCTTCTCGGTACGCCGGTTCGGCGCGAGATCCTTTAGCGAGATTGGGAAAGAAATTGAAGCAACACGGGAGATATAAAATTTTCAGATTGAATCTAGAACAGGAGGTTCTCCATGTGAGAGAGAGAATCTGGAATTCAAAGGATTCGAATTGATGATATATTTCGATTTTTTATTTCTATTTTTCTTTTTTCAAATGGCAATTAAATTTTAAATTTGAAGACCAGTGACTTTTGACTTTAGACTTTTGTCTCGCGGATCATCCGACATTTACCGAAATGATCGGCAAAGATCAAAAACGAAAGGGATCGGGGTGTCGCTTCTGTTAAATGATTTCTAGAATCTCGGAATTTGCACCGATTAAAGTGCTTGAGAGGCTATGAGGAGGATGCTACGGGAGCAGAAGTATCGTGCCGGAAGCGTTACTTTTTAATTTAAAATCCGCTTCGAGAATTCCCGTCCCGACAGAGTCGAGAGAGGATCGAACGACGCGATTTCATTACAAAGAGTGAAAAAAATTCTAGAGAGAAATATATGAATATTCTAATATACTCGTTACGTTGGTTAAATAAATCCGCAAATTAAAAAGTGAAAAAGAGTGAATCTAAAAGGCAATATTAAAAAATATTATACTTCAAAATTCATGAATGGATTTCGTTTTTTTTTTTTTCGACAAATAATCTCATGGAGTTAAATTACGTACTTCTTGAAACGTTGAATACGTAATAAGTTGCTGAAAGGTTCAATTTTTCTTGGCTCAATTTTTCTTTTTCATTAATAAAAAAATGAAATCCATATGATAGAAAGTTATTTCAAATTCCTCTTAAAATTTAAATTCAAATAAACGTATTATCACAGATATAGCTTTTATTTAACGATATATAAAATGTATGCCTTTGAAACAATCACAAGTTTGGTTTCTAAAATAAATTGTTTATTACTCCATTTAAATTTTTGTCGTTCAGCCTCGGTGTTAAAAAATTATTTTCGAAAGTTAAGCTTTGGTTCAATCAAATATTTGGCATTAAAATTTTAAAAGAATCAAAGAAAGAGAGTTGTGGATGATATTTGTATTGCAAAAACAGTACGTTTGAAGCAAGAAAAATTTAGAAAACGTGAGATGATAAAAGTCGAGTCGATAAAAAAAAAAAAGAAAGAAAAACAGACGCGCATTGCCATCCTGTTCGTTTGAATGCTAACGCGCGACTACCGGAATTCGGAGTTCTTCCCCTTCTCTATTAAAATTCGATCGCTCTAAGCGGACGTGCGTCGCGTCGTAATGTTCCCTGGTTTTATCGTGGTCGAAGTCAGTCTTCAAAAATATACATACGCGAAGTATGTACCTCGTTGTGCGAAATCAGATTGACGTTGATCTTATTACCGCTTGCTCATTAAATGAACATTGTTCCAGTATTTTTCAACTTGTTTCTGCTGCGAAGACATTATATAATTTCTTTCTTGGTCATTTCTTAAACGGTGATGTTTTAATTGCTCGGTAATTAGTCAGACTGAGACACAACTACGAAAAACATTTGCAGTCAAAACGAGCATTGCGGATGATACAACAGACGTTTCGTAAAGGAAAGGTGTTGCACGATTAGATCCTTTTTTTTTTCTTTTCTTTCAGTTTTCATCCGCCCGCTCTTAACGTCATTATTTCTTCGCGAGTAAGTGCAACTGTAATAACATCGATGCTGTGTACAAGAAAGCCGAAGTAAACGGTTTCGTACACGTATCTTCGATATCGATCGATCTCTATCTCCGAGAGTTTTTCGCTGTTCTTTCGCCTCTATCTGATACAACGAGTATCTTTCACGACGAATATTTTTCTTGCTTCCCGATACATATTCAACGCCCGATAACCGTCATTACCCCCGTTATCAATAATTCTTGAATCCATGTAACAAAAACTCTCGAGTCTTGTTCCGATTCGAATTTTTCGCTCGAAGATAATTCGACGTGGTTTATCAAAATTTTATCAGAAGCGCTCGAAACGGCGAGTCAAGGAGGGCAGTTTAAAAACGCTCGTTTCATTTCCAATATCGTTATGCCAACCTCCGCCAAACGTATCTGTCTTGTTCCAAGCAATTGTTTTCACGTTATATAACTAACGATCGAAATCACTTTTCGAGGAAGAAAAATCGTGGAAGATTTTGTGTTCTACGGAAAGATAAACTGTGATTCGAGGATCTTATTTTTCGCAGCCACTTAATACCGATCATCGAAAAAATTTTATCGGCCGATAATGTGAAGAGGGACGTCGCGTACGGAGACGCGAGAAAAGAGGTTTCACGGATGGAATATTTTTCTTGAACGATGATGATAAAATTGAAAACCAAGTCCAATTCTGTTCACGAATCGTTAGATCCAATCAGTGAATTTTATCTT